TCATTGGCAAAAGTTAAACGCGGTCAATGGTCACCAAGCTCAGATACATTCCGTTTGGAGGGAAACGAACACACCTCACCAGAGTGGGGCTAGGCTGGCCACAAAATCGGTCTGTTTGCATGGAATCCGAAGGTGCAGATGTGTTGGTGTTATCTAGAAACTGTCATATTATTGCTCCCGAACAACACGGCTTTCATCGACAGTGATCGTGCACATCATCATCATCAATACACGTTTGCCGAGGGTGAGAAACACAACGTGTGCACAATGAAGTTCTTCATCGCACGAAATAGATGAATTGAGTCAGTTGACGCTGAATGTGATGTAGTTGATTTTGTCGAAGGTATTCGATCGTTTAGATCATCGGACTCTCCTTTTCAAGCATTAATATTACGGCATCAGTGACCCACTCTTCAGCTGGATCGCCGACTTTCTCCTGCAACGATAATTAGTGGCTAAAGTCTAGAGTTCCCTATATGACCCCATACCAGTCGAGCCTGGTGTGGCTCATGGCTCAGTTCTAGGGCCGCTATTGTTTTCGGTATTCATTAATGAGCTTGCACGGACAGTCACTACAAAGTTCCTACTGCCTGTTGACGGTAACAAGATATGGAGCAGGATTCAGGCGGATGCCGATTGGAATTTACTTCAGTGTCACCTAGTTATGGTACATTATTGGTCAACCCAAAATCTGCTGCATACTACGAACGTAACTACTACAGCGATCATCCGTCAAAAGCGCGCTTGGCGTGCTGGCTCACGATAATTTGGAGTGTTCCTAACAAATGGAAAAGGCATTGAAAACTGGCAACCAACACGTTGGGTGGTTACCATGGGTATTCAAACAAATAGACACCACTAATTGCTGACAGTTACACAACGTGTATGTTCGCCCCCATGTCGAATATGCAATTAAAACTTGGTAGCCATGGCTGAGGCATGAACTCACTGCACTGGACCAACCACAACATTGGGCTAATAAATACTCCATTGGAATGCGCAATATGCTCTACGAGCAGAGACTGAAACGTATGAGAGTATTCAGCTGGCGAGATAGCCGAATGCATACTTGATTTTACACAATCCAAATCATGTGTGCCGCTCTTTGCTGCAAGTCAGCAGCAGCACCAAACATAGACGTCATTTCTTAAAACTGGTAGAACAGTACAGTCGTCTAGAGTGCCGTAAAAATTCCCTTTCTCTTCGTGTGTGTCAAACATGGAACGCTCTCTCTGAATCGGTGATTTGTGTGCCTACACTAGACATATTTAAGAGTCAGCTGGAAGACGAACTCTGCCAAGTATATTTTGTTATTTGACCCTAATCTCCATCCTAATCCCGGGAAACACCTTGAATTTAATATTTGGACGATTGAAGCTATGGAAAGACTCAGAGTGCAGGACTACTGCGTTAAACGCAAGAAGCCCATTCTTCTGATAGTAAAACGTTTTTCAGTAACCAATCAAATCAATGAAAGGTACTTGTAAAGCAGTGCTTCTTAACCCGTATAAAATCATTACTCATGGTGCATTGCATTAGCAAGAAATGGTCGTATCATGACTGCATTGTGGCTTTTCAGAACACGTTTCACAGGCAATTACATGATACACATGCATTTGTCTAATAGTTGGTAAAGTAAAATTCAGTTAAGAAATCTGACGCACTGCTAGACGTAAGAATACTTGGCTTGTTTTTTACCGATTTTTTCACCGCGGTTTGTACCTATCCATCAGAAGAGTTCACTTCAGCTTACCTTAGACCCGAAAGGAGGTAAGGGGGATGTGGTTGGGCTTGTCTCCATTTGCTGTTTACATGCATGTGTCCCCATGATAGCGATGTGCGTATGCTTTTGCTTGCTGTACTTACTCGAATTTCCACAGCAGCATATAGATGCACTAAAGTGATTTGTTTATGTGGACTGCAGGAGCACTGGGTTGGACGGTGAACTAGCTACGCTAGTTCAAACACATAAGCCATCCGGATGACAGACAGTATTTCGAGAAGTGGAAAAGCGTTTGTACCCCTTTCTGTACGCAAAGTAGGACAACTTGATTTGTTGCATAGCATTTAGGACGCACTCATTGCTGACACTGTAAGGTAAGCACGTTTGGCAGACCAGTAGTATACATTGACCGATAGTGCTTTTAGCGACGGAATGAGCAAAAGCTAGACGAAGAGAAAGCATTATCTTATCCAATCAACGGATTTTCGATTTACGGTTCTTTTGTCACTGACTTCAGCTTCGAGTACGTTGCCTGAAATTAGTAACTTCAATAACTGAATCCCAGCTAACCGCAATAGTGTACCACAAACGTTTACGTGAATGTTTCTGTCCTCACACTAAGCGTAATAGTTGACTGTACGACGGATAAGTTCACACCGCAAAAAGAATTAAGCCTAATAGATAGACAAGGAAGTAATTACACGATCGCTCGTATTCGAGGCCAACTATAATCATTGGCATCTTACTTGAAGTGCACGTAATAATATAACTGTTTAAAATATTTATATGAGTAATCGCTGAAACAATTCCTGCTCATTTCCTTCATGCAATCGGTATAAGCACGTGTAAATTTTGCGAAGATACTTGCGCGCCACGCGCAATTCATGCACAAATTCATTCACAACAATAAAACAACTACTCTTTAAGGGGTGTGTTAATGGAGATAGAATTGTGTGGACTCAGCCAAAGTGGCCTGTTTTCTTGGCATCTTCAATCAGTCAGAGGTGATATGATGTTTGTCCGTTGAAAATAAAATTAGGTGGTCTAGAATACATGTTTGCACCACTACCCGCAGTTTCATTAAACCAAGTCTGACAAGCAGACACGGAGGTGGAGATTTGGAGACAATGCTGGGATGGGAAAGACAGAATATAGTGCATTATATCTAGTCACTACGTCGCCCTTAAGTAACCAAAGACCAAGATGAACCACGTGAGTGGATAGGGGGAACGAATTAACGATACTGGAACGTACCTCAGCTCTTACTGAGTGACCACGATCTGAGTTCAATGCACTTCACCTAATTCTGCATTGGGTTGTGAGATAATGATCCACAACGCGTACAGTAGCCTATCACTTGTAGACAGATCAAACTTTGGGACTTTACATAGTATGAACTAAATTGTAACGAATCTCAGCACTAGCATGGACTTTCGTTACCTACGACAGCTGACCCCGTATCCTCACGAGCAACCTCGTCGCTATCGTAACAATGGCTGTAGCCCAGGCTTTATAACCTCAATGCTGTGCATGATAATGATCGTCTTGAGGTACAATACGCACCATCACGCCCGCCATATACATCTGTCGATTGTACTTCGACTTTACTTCGATAGCAACGTTCCGTTTGTAATGTTAATTTTGGCGTTATAACCCCACCAAAGGAAACGCTTCAAATGCATTTCATGCAAAGGTACCACAAATAGAAAGTGATGAAATAATGACCAGTGTTTTCGCGTGCAATCTAAGTTTCATTCCACTCTTTGGACTCCAGTTAACGAACGGAGAAACTCTGTGGTCACCAAATGAGTGTACGAAATTGTAAATTATAAATCTCATCTATTCATGAGAGTACATCGACACCACAATGTACAATTGCAATGATACTCGCCCCCTATAAGAGTGTAAAAAGATTGTCCTGGTAATTTTCGTTAATGGCTCCGTTGGGGTTACTTTTCTTTGTATGTCTGTCCGAATTCTAGGCAGTACCCGCTATGCAGCATGTTACCTACTCTCTATACTGGAGATGCTCTCACACGTGTATGCGTTGCGTGCTGGCTACAACAGTTAGAGAGTGAACATTTTTGGTCAGAGTACTACAGGCAGATGCGGAGTGACACATTGAAGTTCGCTCCACATCCCTTGAAGTGGCACAAGAAAGCAGGGGAAGAATAAAAGATTGCAGATTGAGAGCTGTGGGGTACCCATAAATCATTATGTGTACAGAGGAATGTTTAGTACCCGGTCACTGTGATGGTGCACTAAGAATGTCATTGCAAATATGCAAGCACATATTGGTTGTAAGGAAGTCCGCGCACATGTCTCCCGTCGTGAATACAACGATCAAGTTGACTGCTGGGTTTACTGACTTCACCCCTAAAAGTGTAGGACTATGGATGGGTACAAGTAGATGGAGTGAATTCGGGCGGAACAATTGCGAAAGCCATCCGTAATGTTTGGGTAAAATTTCTAAGGTTTATACCTCACATTTGGTGTAGGCCACGGGGGTTGCAAAACTGTCAGTCACATAGCAGCTGCATTCCGGGCGTGGAACAAAATGGGCGGGAATAGTCGGATAACTTGATCGAATCACCAGTGGCCAATAACCAAAGGAAGCACGCAATCATCATCATTAGACTGGTTGCATCAAGGCGCTTAGATTTTCGGTAAAGCCAGTAAGAGTAGCGGGTGCTCTCCACATACATGAATTGCCCATGAATTGCGTAAGCACTGGGTGGGAATAATCAACTGCACCCGGAAATCGCTTCTCGAATTACCAGTTTGGTTAGTGGCTTAATAGCTTTACGTCAGTAATCGTTTGTAGAAGCCGTGGTTGCTGAAATCGATATACTTGCGAATGTCTTAAAAGCTCGAAGCCCCTATGCCTGTATTTCGTTCCTGCCAATCATAAATCGCACCCGATCCATAGCAGAGTAACCTCAACAATGCGATGCATTTGTTTACACGCTTAATTCATGGGAAAATATCGTAAGCTTCCGCCATGTTGCACAGTTAGAAACAAGGAATTGACGTACGCTTACGAAAGCAAGGAACGCTGTAGCCTCTACTGATGCGTTCTGAATGTAATCAGTAAAACATTTTCTTTCCGTCAATTCATTGTAATAGGCCATCACCGCTTTTGTGCATGTGTGTTATCAACCACTATATATTTCAACTTTCCCAAAACGGTATGAGGTGCACTTGTTTGTAAGTATATCTAACGCCTACAAGGTATGAGATAAAGATACTCTAAAAATCCATTGAAAAACTAACTTACTTGAATCTTGGCAGTGAAATGATACTCCGTAGAATATCGCTAATCCGATAGCGAGCATAAGAAACACAGTGAGGATTATGATGACTACATAAAGCACTCTGGTACGGGACCGGAAAGTCCTCTTCCGTATAATCCTCGCCTCCGTGTTTCGTATGCCCGGTTCACCATCCGGAAGGGAATTTCCTGGGATTTTGTGTGTCAAACCTTCGGCTTCCGGCATGCTCTTCATTGTATACATAGTAGTATAAATAGAACCGCGTGCAATTGCGCTGTTTCTGGGCAGACCACAATTTAAACGAATACGGTATCACACCGAGTTGGCTGAACTACGCTTCAGTTATTGGAAAATGTACCAGTATGTCAATTTTCGTACAATAACATATGTTTGGTATGATTTTACGTGAAACAAGAAAAATACTCAAGATCAAAGTAGTTTTACTGTGTTACAGTAGGAGTGTGATACACGGAATCGGTGATGGATGATTGAAATATGATATGTGATGGCCACGATAAATCCTGCACGCATAAAATGGTAACATCAAACCGGTTACACTATTTCATATAATCACTGTGTTTCGGCACTCGGATTAACAAAATTATCTCAAAAATCCAATGCCTGAAACTTCGTGACACAGGTCCATCACCGTAAAAGTAACCGAACGGTACTTATGAGTGCTGCTGTTAGTGTGGGTTACCAACGACCAATGAAAACGCACAAACATCTACACCAATAGCGTTCAGCCAATTGGAGAGAGGCCCGAACTTGGACATCCGGTGCATCGTCCTTGCGTCCTGCTGTGATAAGATGATGTAAAGTAAAAGAAAATGTAGATTAATTGCTGTATGAAAATAATACTATTCATATATTTTTCACGTTTGCTAACACTGGGAACACATAATTGTTTGTGTTAAGCACTGCACTTTCAGAAGCAGCAGCTAACTACAGCCATTTCGAGAACTCTGGTCCCTACTTAATGCGGGATAAAGAGTTCCTACTTCTGATGTGAGGTAGAGCACATTTAATTGCCAACTGTCCAGTAGTAGGTGTTAATCTCTCACAATACCTCTCACCCGGTCACGGATGTAGAACGACCGTATACATGCAAGTGGGTACATTTGCACTTGCCAGTGTCATCCATAGTGAAAACACTATATCAGGTGCGGATGGTTGAGTGCGAGCCAAACTACGGCACACCACAAGGCAAGTTCACCGATCGATACGTACGATGTGTAGGGCTGATTGGAACGGAGGCAGGCGTGCAAAATCGAAACCGCGGTGCCTCATTACCGGGCTACTGCGGTAGAATCGTGGTGGCTCTTCGGCAGGCATAACTGGCCTGAGCAAAGAGTGTGCGACAGGTGCTTAGTGTTATCCCAGCTAATGACAAAAGTGTTATTGGCAACGCTCTTGTAGACTGAAAGTTAACTTCCAACAACCTACGTTAGCAAAATAGACATTCCTTACAATTAGGTCTTGCAACTATGAAATGTGACGTTTTGAGACAGAAGACTTGAAAAGCTATGCCACCTAAACTCCACTCGCTGCTGCATAGCCGATTCTCCTGTCACAGTCTTGATCGCCGTTGAAGGAAACAAGTGTTGTTCCGCTGTCCGAGTTGTTTCATGCGGAACAATGAGCGTTCATTCCAACATATTCACCGATGAGGCAGTATTCCGTTACCACGGAATTAAGGAGCTGCATTCCTAGGCGATATCTAATCCTCGCTGATACAGAGAATCCCTTATTGCACAAAGTACGAAGCTCATTGGCTCGAAAAGATGAATGACAAATCGTGGGACGACCTCACACGCAGGTGGGTTCTCACGCATACTGTGTAACACAAGTCCGTTATCCCTGTGATAACTTTGCTGAAACAATATGCTGCAAACTTCGAATGTCACATTCAAAAGAATATATAAGCCACGCTTTCACGGTCTGTATTCTTACTGAAATCTCGTTAGACCATCTTTCTTTCCCTTTGCGTGACCGGTATGTTATTGCTTGGAAGCACTCATCTCACGCCATAGTATGTATGTCGACGAACAGGATACAAATACGCAACCGCATGGCCTATTCTCACATCCCCATCTCGTTCACATCCTCCCCGTATTCCTTAGGTATAACCATTAAAAACAAGTATTACCATTGTGAAACAAGTTGCAAAGAATTGGTCAGACGAAGCGCTGTCTAATCAGCTTTGCTCGTGGAGTGCATTCTAACCCTACGCACCTTTGACACCAAATTCCCGTGCGCTAATGTAGTCCAGAAACCAGTGGTAACAGTGAATACGTATATTAACATAAACAGTATAAAATGGTGATATGTCGGTCAACGACGAAAATTTTCAACGTACCCTCCGGCGTTCTGCTTGCACTGCGGAAATCGCCTGAGACAATAGGCTATCATTATGCAGTTTCCATGCTGATGGCGCGAAATTTGTAGAAGCTACTGCCTTTCAGTTGTTACAGTGAAATAGGTGTTTTCGTGTAACCTCTTCTTTTCCAATAAATCCATAGGAAGAAATGTAAGGGGTTCAAATCTAGTGACCGGGCAGGCCAGTCCGTTAGATCTCTGCGACCGATCCATTGGTGACCGTATACATCCTTAAGAGAATACCGCACCGTTTATGCGTATTAGGCAGGTGCCCCACATTGAATCTATAAAGGCGGAAGCGAAGTGCCAAAGTAGCCAACGATAATCGGTGATGAAAACATCTCTATCTTGTAGCTCCTACGTAATTTGGCACCGACGGTTCCCTTACCACTGGAGAACCATGGTAGACAGAGGAATGGCGGTAATCATAATTATGTTACTTGGTAAACAGAGGTTAATGTTATATGGGCAACGGAAGTACCTGAATCTGGCTTACAAAGACCGCATAACGCAGCATACTGAGCTCCAACGCTTTCGTCAACTTTACAGTAAACTTCGACAGCGACGCCTGCACACTGTCGAGCAATTGAGCGAGCGCCTTTCTCACCTACCCATCATGTTCTGTTTGCTCGTAGCGTTCATTCAACCCCGACGAAGCATGCCTACCATTACCTAGCCCAAAAATGTGCTAGTGAAAGCAATCGCTATGCATTACACATATATTTACACGAAGTGTGTTCCGAGAGCATAAAATCCAACGCCATTCTTTTGCCTATCAGGATTCTTCAATGGTAAGAAGTGCATTTGTGTGTCTGTGGAGAAGCTTGTGTTTCAAACGAAATCGTTTTGCTAGCTCCGATTGGTGTGATAATTTGTTGTCACGTACCAACTATACAGATTAAGTGCTCAGAGCTACGTAGGCCATCCAATTTTCGCGTCAGGATTGCTTTTGTGAAGACGCACTGTGATCACCCAAGGCCAAAAAATCCCTGTTTGGCTTCTCAGGAATAATGTTGGTTTCATGGGATGTTAGAAGATTTTGGCTCTGGTGTTTTGTGACTAGTGACTTGCTTTTCAACCATTTATCACAGACTACCGCTGGGGTGCACTCAGTCATGAACGTCCAGCTTACATTTTAAACAACTGCGGACAAAACCTTATAATGGGTAATAAATTGCATGTTTTCTGGCTCTGCATCAGGGTATTCACCGTAGCAAATGAAATCGAACCGTACAATCCTGTACTGGCTTCGACCCAGAGGACTGAATATACTAACAACCATTTGTTTCTCGCTGGTGAACACTTCGAAAGTTGCAACGCGGAATCCTATCACTCACTACGATTGGTGGGTATACACACACAACAAAAAGGCGGCCAGCGCTTCACATGCCTAGTACTGGCCTACTTTCCAAGGGTTACTAGCATCAGACCCAATACTTGCTTCTATCACCACACCATCAGTGTTATCCAGCATCAACCTCACAGCAAAAATGGTTCCGGAAAGGCTATCACATTGCGTGCACACAGCTCTACTGCAGTAGATAACCTTCTATCTAAAGCACTGCAGGTAGCAGCCATTCACCTAGCCCAACCACTTGCCGGATTCTTTCAGAGAAATCCGTCTGATCCTGCCAGTTACCGTCCAGTAACACCTCTCCTTGTGCTCACCAAAGTCATGGAAGCGCTCATCCCTGACGTAATGATGAGGCACCTGGAAAGTATCAGTGATCCAGTATTAGGATGGGTTGGTTAATTTCTCCGCTAACAGCAGTTAGAGCTTAGAGTCCAAACATTTCTGCTCCGCCCTAATCGAAGGAAGTGCGACGATCTTGAGCGTGCTAACACCGCAAAATTTTATTTTCCGCGGATGACGTTAAAAGTTGGCCGGCGATAAAGGGGATCTACGACCACCAGATCTTTCATGTCCGACCTAGATGGGACCTGGAATTGACCGGTCAGGAACGCACTGCCATTCCAAGTGGACGAGCGACACGTTGTCCACATCCGCCCTAGACACGCAATCACTACAAAGTTGGGGCGTACGATCTTCAGAGAAGCCCTTAGGAATGTGACCTCGGTGTGCCGGTGCAGGACGACTTCCGTCACTCTAAACAGTCGGAATCCCTTTCAAAAGTGGTAACCAGCACCTTGTTCACTTGCGGATGGCATTCATCTTCTGTATGGTGCTCAATATCTACGTGCGTTCCCACATCGAATATGCAATCCAGGCTTGACACACTTGGCTAAAGCGTGACCTCGTAGCCCTCGAAAATCCCTATTGTCGAGCAACAAAATGTGCCATGAGCTTGTGCAACCTTCCGTACCAGCAGCGACTAAATGCACCCGGAGTGTTTAGTGGACGCTACATGTGGTTACATGGAGGCCTCATGTTAGTCTACCAGATACTGCATGACCTCACTTACGTATGCCGCCACCTACTACAACTCATACCGAACACCAACTTTACAGGCTATAGCCTGAAACTGAGTCAAGAAAGCAGTCGGCTTTTCATTAAGCCTGGACGAACCTCAGCTCTTAGCGGCTCAGTGATTCCACCATAAGTAACCATCGAATGTTTCAGTGCGTACGCTACTTATGTGCGCAATGACAGTCTGGACCATAAGAATTTTATCCGACTGAATTCATTATTAGCATCTTTTGCTAGTGGATCAAAATAGTCTTTGACACATTTGTGAAAGAGGACAAGTATATTAACAGAAATGTATTGGAACGATCATATACACTAGTGAAGGATATGTTCAACATGTCCGCCGACGTTTTGCTTGTAGTGCAGAAACAGCTTGATGCAGTTGGCGAGCACTTTCTCCAATGTATTGCTCGTGAACGCGCAACATACCTCCACAAGATTTTCTTTTAACTGGTCCAATGTACGCGGCCTAGTTTTGTACACACTCGCTTTTCAGATAGCCCCATAGCAAAAATCCAAGGGGTTCAAATCTGGTGAGCGAGCAGTCCATTCCATTGGTCCACGGCGTCCGATCCAATAGTGATCAAATGTGTCGGTGTGGTAAGCATGCACCGTTATAGCAGCATGTGTAGTTGCACCATCCTGCTGCCACAAAATGATACTGTATGCCCTTTCGGCCTCCAACTGGGGAAGCATAAATGTTGCAGCATTTCCAAGTACCACGACTCTAGGAAAAGATAATACTTTAGTACTTCAAAACAACAACCTACCGCTCATATTCCCCGAAAAGAAATATGGGCTTGTTAATCCAGCCCAAATCATTAGTTTCCCACTGTGGTGCAT